TGTCCAGGCGTACCTCAAACCTTGATCTTCCTGATGTCAGTCTCCCAAGTAGCAAGGATTACATGTGTGAGCCACCAACACATGGCAAAATCATACTGATTTTAAAAAAATCAAGATAGTTTGTGGAGTGGCTCAAGTGGTAAGAGTGTCTGCCTAGCAAGTGTGAGGCCCTGAGTTCAAACCTCAGTGTTTCAAAAAAAAAATTAAATTTAGCTGGGTGCCAGTGGCTCACACCTGGAATCCTAGCTACTCAGGAGGCAGAGATCAGGAGGATTGCAGTTAGAAGCCAGCCAGGGCAAATAGTTCTCAAGACCTGGTCTCGAAAAAACCCATCACAAAAAAGGGCTGGTGGAGTCGCTCAAGGTGTAGGCCCGTAGTTCAAGACCCAGTACCACAAAAGAAAAAAAATTAAGATAAATTTCGCATAATTCCACTAATTCCATTAGGTTACTTTCACTACCCCAAAAAAGTAGGCACTTCATTCTTCATTCCCCCTCCCTCTAACCCCACACAACAACCAATCTTTCTGTTTCTTTGGATATACCTATTTTAGACATTATATATAAATAGAATCCCATAATACGTGGCCTTTTGTGTCTGACTTGTTTCAAGGTTTATCAGTGATAACTGTGTCAGTACTTTTTTCCTTCTGTGGCTGAATAAACTTCTATTTATAGATTTACACACTTTGTTTTTGCATTCGTCAATTGATGGACTTTTGAGCATGTCCATTTTTTGGCTACTATATGTAATGCTGTTTTGAACATTTATGTACAAGTTTCTGCTTGAACATATGTTTCTAGTTCTCTTAGAAACTCATGAGCAGAGAACTGAGAGTGGTGGTTCATGCCTGTAATTCTAGCACTTAGGAGGCTGAGGTGGGAGGGTTCTGTTGCAAGTTCAAAGCCAGCCTGGACTATCTAGTAAGACCCTGTCTCAAACAAACAAACAAAAAACCAAAAACCAAAACAAAACAAAACAAAAAAAAGGAAAGAAAGAAAATCAGGAGTGGATTTGCTGGGTCAGACAGTAATTGTGTTTAACTTTTGAGAAACTGCCAAACTGTTTTCCACAGTGACTGTACCACTTTACATTTCTACTTACCTGCGTATGAGGGCTCATCGCCAATACTTATTATTGGGTTCTTGTTGACAACTATCCTAGTGGATAAGGAACTATTGCTTAACCCAAAGTCATGAAGATTTCTACCTATGTTGCTTTTAAGGTTTATAGTTTTAGCTTTTATAATTAGGTAGTTGATAAGCATTGAGTTAATTTGTGTATATGTTGTATGCTAAAGGCCCAAGGCCCAAATCTATTCTTTTTAGTTTTAGCTTTTTTTCTTTCTTTTTCTTTCCCTCCTCCTCTTCCTTCTTCTTCTTTCTTTTGTGGTATTGGGGTTTGAACTCAGGGTCTTACTCTTCCTAGGCAGGCACTTTATCACTTGAGCCACTCCTCCAGCCCTTTTTTGTGTTAGGTATTTTTGAGATAGGGTCTCTTGAAATATTTGTCTGGGTCTGGCTTTGAATTTTGATCCTCCTGATCTCTGCCTCCTGAGTAGCTAGGATTACAGGTGTGAGCCACTGGCGCCAGGCTCTTTTCTTTTCTTTCCTTTTTCTTTTTAATTTTGGCAGCACTGGGGTTTGAACTCAGGGGCCTTGCAGCCAGCCAGGTATTCTACCACTTGAGCCTCAACTCCAACCCCCAGGCTTATCTTGAATTCTCCATCTCCCACCTCCTCCTCCTCCCAAGTGCTGGGATTACAGGTGTGCACCACTACACCTGGCTTTAAATCTACTCTTCTCATATGATGTCCAGTTGTCCAGCACCATTCGTTGATATGATTATTCTTTTCTCATTGATTGGTCCTGGAACCCTTGCTAGAAATCACTTGATCGTAGATGTATGGGTTAATTTCTGGACCTTCAATTCTTTTTTTTTTTCTTTATTTTGTTCTATTATTTTTACATTTGCTTACATGTGTATACATTCTTTGGGCCAGAGTCCCCCCCAACTCCCGCTTCTGGGCAGAACCTGTTCCACCCTCTTGTTCTCTGATTTTGTTGAAGAGAAAACATAGGAGACAGTAAGAAAGACCTAGCATTTTTGCTAGTTTGAGATAAAGATAGGTATACAGAGAGATTTCTAGCATTGCTTCCATGCATTTGTGTATTGCAACCCACATTGGTTCATCTATGCCTGGACCTTCAATTCTATTCCCTCATTCTGACATTTCTTTTTCTTTAACATTTTACAAGTTATTTTTGACATTATTTTATTCAGATTTTTTTTAACCTCCGAGACTTCCAAAATATTTATTATTTATTCAGTTGGTTGAAAATGAGTTAGGTACTCAAGTGGTAGAGTGCCTACCTAGCAAGTGCTAGGTTCTGAGTTCAAACCCCAGTACTGCCAAAAAAGGGGGGAAAAAAAAAAGAACAAGAAAAAGAGTTGAGCCAGAATAAAAATTACTATGAGAAAACTTACTAAATAATCAAGACACTGGCTTCATAGCAATATTGCTACAATGCTAACACTGTGTTACAATTATGTACTTTGTTATTAGAACAATTTCTAAAGATGGGAAGTGTGGCTCAGGTGGTAGAATGTTTTCTTTGCAGGCTTGAAGCATCTAAGTTCAAATCCCAGTCACCCCCCCAAAAAAGGACAAATAACCCAAATGCAATCCCTATGGCTATCATCAGTAACACAAACAATAGCAAATGTTGGTGAGGATGTGGAGAAAAAGGAACCCTCAAATACTGCTGGTGGGAATGTAAATTAGTACAACCACTATGGAAAACAGTATGAAGGCTCCTCAAAAAACTAAAAATAGAACTGCCATATGATTCAGCAATTCCATTCCTAGTGATATACCCAAAGGAATGTAAATCAGGATACAATTAAGACACTTGCACACCCATGTTTATTGCAGCCCTATAAACAATAGCCAAGCTATGGAAACAACCAAGATGCCCCACTACTGATGGATGGATTTAAAAAATGTGTTATTTATATTCAGTGGAATTTTATTCAGTCATAAAGAAGAATGAAATTTTATTGTTCTCAGGTAAGTGTATGGAACTGGAGAACATCATGTTAAGTGAAGTTAGCCAGTGTCAGAAAGAAAAACATCATGTTTTCTCTCATAAGAGGAAAAGAAGAGCCAAATACAAATACAAGCATTATTATATGTACATAGGTATATACAGAATGTTTCCAAAAGTGGAAGTGTTAGAGGAGACTAAGAGAGGAGGAAAAGAAGAAAAGAATGATAGAGTGAATAATACTGAAATACATGACGTGTGTAGGGATGAGGTACGATTAAATGCCCTGGAAACTGTAGAACAATACAAGGTAGGGGAAAAAGCTAAGGAAGAGTAGTACAGGAGGTTAGACTGATTAAGGAACAGTATTTTCACAAGTAAAATACCAAGATAAGACGCAACTGAACAATGAAGAACAGGACTGTGAAGGAGGTCATGTGAAGGGGAGGGTACTTGTGGTAGGGAGGGTAAATGAAGAGGGTAAAGGAGGGTAAATATGGTTGATGTACTTTCTATACAGGTATGAATATGGAACATTGAAACCTGTTGAAGTCATTTTAAGAAGGGTAGTGGGGGAAAAGAGATTAATGGAGGAGATGAACCAAATTGGGGTATAATTCATGTATATATGGAAATGTCACAATGACATTTAAAACATTTAAAAAGATGTTAAAAACATTTTTAAAAGAGCAATTTCTAAAGTTATAAATTGAAGACTTTGGTAGTCTACTTCAATATTTCAGAAAAGGAAATTAAAACAAAAATATCATTGGACACTCTACAGCATAGTATAAAATATAAATGAATATGTGAAGCAAGGATTCTTATTATTTAACTCTTTCACAACTTAGATGAATAAAAGAATACAGTTGAGCATATGGGTTTTTCTGTGGATCTATCCATCTGCATTGCAAAGGTTGTTGGGTAATGACTACACAGGTGGATGTTCTGAATGTTACTCTTAACATTCAGGAGACTTGTTAGACTTCGGTAGGAACAAACAGAGAATCTGTGTTGCTTCCTAAATTCTGCACAATTCCCTTGCAATGTTCTCTCACCCTTCCTCTCAAATATTATTCTCTTTTGTCACATCCTTATTCAGTTAACATATCTTTGGGACAAGCATCACGTACAAATATAAGACGCAGAAAACCTCAACCTGATTGACATTGCTGACCTCAACATTCCATTAACTTCCTTCCGAGGGTTCATGATAAGATGTGAAGTTCGTGGGTACTTCTAATTATGGACTGCCTTAAAAATCTGTGTTTCCAGAGGATTTGCTGCTTGAGACACCAATTCATCAGTACAGTGTCTTCTTCATAGTCTTCATGTCTATTTTAAGATGCCTGAAGGTGACCCACCCCCAAATCCTCTTGTATACAAATATGAAAACAAGGCAGACAATGAAAGCATACAGCAGGTGCTTGAATGTTAATGCTTTGGAGAGAGGGTTGGGCTCACAACCACCAGGGCCAGATTCTCTCATTAGGAGGCCATGGCCTGATGGAAGAGCATACTTGACAGTGAAACTCGAAGGACAAGAGTAGAAAAATCCGTCACTTAACACCACTGACAACTCAGATGAATAAAGTAATAGAGGATATTCATATAAAGCCATTTGATCCTCTCACTATGCTTTTCAAAAAATCTACCTCAGCTTTTATCCTGCCTGGAAGGCGTAGAACATTGACATTTAGAATTATTCCGGATCCTGCAGTTCTGTTGTTCCCCAGTACAGGGCAATGTTGCATTCAAAACTGCACCAGTTGCAGCATCACTGTGTGGGAGGGGGGGAGGGGGGACTGTGTTCCTTCTGCATAGATATTTTTAAAGAGTCATATACAAATACTTTTTTCTCTACACCCTAAGAAGGTGAGAGTTGAGGATGAAAGACAGAAGGCTTGAAGGATTGTTCTTCTATCCACTCTCCAGCAGAGATAGTTCATTGTAGGTGACATTGCAGGAGGTTGCCATCAAAGTCCCAAAGTACGAAATGCATCTCTTAAGTCGTCGACTTCATATAAAGGCTGGAGAGAGAGAGAGAGAAGTAATCTGAGTGAAGGAGGCTTCTAAACAGAGTGGGTGACACTGTAACATGTCTGAAGAAAGTAAATCCCGAAGGACAGGAGGAGGAATGACTTCTGACCAGGAGGGAATCTAAGCAGAGATTAACAGGAAGAAGTCATGGTCAAGGAGAGGACAGGTAAGGGGAGAAAGTCTTAGCTCTGACCTGAGACAGCATAGGAGAGAACTGGATTGCACAGGAAATAGTTTATACTCTTGATGAAAAATGAAAATAATAAAAAAAAACACACAAGAAACTCCAGGAAAAGATGTGTGAGAGAGAGAAGCAAGGAAGCGCCTTACCAAGAGGATGCGCCGAAGCTGCCTGGACAGACGGACTGAATTCTCATGCAAGCCCTCCCAGGCCTTGAAAGTCCTTTCATGATTTTCTACAAATGTATTCCAGCAGTAAAAATAATCTAACAACAAAAGAAGAAAATGTTGGTGTGTGTGTGGGGGGAGTAGAAGATAAGTCAGGTTTTAAATTGGAAGGAAGAAAGAAAATGTCAACCCTGTTTCCTCAATCACTCAGGGCCCTGACTCAGCCTCCCCCACCCTGTCCCTGTCCCTGTCCCCTCTCTTTTCTCCCAGGGAACCCAGGGCCTCAAGCATGCTGAGATACACCCCAGCCTCTCGAGCTTTTTCTTGAATTCCAAGTGATAATTTTGAGGCTGGTGTGGTTGTCCACATCTGTAATCCCAGCACTGAAGAGGCTGAAGCAAGAGGACCTCGAGTTCCAGGCTAGCCTGCACTACATAGTGAGACCCTATAATAATAATAATAATAATAATAATAATAATAATAATAATAATTCCAAAGGTGAACCAGAGCCCTTTGTGGTTCTTCCTCTGACTCTCCCCATTCTTCTCATCCCGAATTGCAATTCCACGTGACGCCTGCTGGCGGAGCCAGTGGAAAGGCCCTTCTCACCTTTGAAGGTCATGATGGCCAGCTGGACTCCTGCACGGTGCAGCCGCCGCAGCCCCTCAGGCTCAGCCTTGCGGTCCTCGCAGAAGTAGAGGCGCGCGGTGAAGATCCTCAGACTGAGGTTGGGGTTCCCTCTGAGGAAGTCGGCCACGTGACGGGCACAGTCATAGCAGGGGCTCCAGGAGGTGAACCAGGTGACCCGATAGCACCGGCCGGGGTCCAGATCCCAGTGGGAGATGTAGCGCAGGAAGAGCAGTTCCACGTGGCAGCCATTCTGCTGGGAAGGCAGAAGGTTTAGTGGACCGTCAAGGTCCCTGACCTTGACCTTGGTTCTGGTAACTTTACATTCTCTCCCACAGGGGTCCTTTGCAGTGCTTGCCCTTACGATGGTTCCCGTGTTACAGAGAGGGTAAGTAACTCTCTCAAAAGAGCTCATTAGTAGCCAGGTGCATGGCGTCCACTTGTAATCCTAGCTACTTGGGAGGCTCGAGGATCGGGAAGATCGAGGTTCGAGGCCAGCGTGGGCAAATAGTTCATGAATCCCGTCTTCAAAATAATCACAGAAAAATGGATGATTGGGTGTTGCTCTAACTATAAAGTGCCTGCTTTGCAAAAGCAAGGCCCCGAGTTCAAACTCCAGTCATTCTCTTTCCCCCCAGAAAAACAAAAAAACCCTGAGCAACCCTGGCCCTGCAGAGTAAAGATTATGGTGGGATGAGGAGGATGAAATGAGCTGAGATTGAAGTAAGGAACTAGCATCGTACTTCCTCTGAAAAGGCTGAAATAATTTGTGTGTGTAAACTGCTGCCCCCGGTGCAGGGGATCGAACTCAGGGCCTCACGCATGCTACACAAGCGCTGTGCCACTAAGGTACTCCCACAATGCTCTTTTGGACTTTTCTTTTTTTTTTTTTAATGGCACTGGGGTTTGAACTGAGGGGTTTACACTTTGTAGGCAGGCGCTCTTACCACTTGAGCCATCCGCCAGCCCTTTTTTGTGATAGGCTTTTTCGAGATAGGGTCTCGCGAACTATTTGCCCAGGGCCGACTTCGAACCGCGATCCTCCTGATCTCTGCCTCCTAAGTAGGTAGGATTACAAGCGTGAGCTCCTTTTTGCACTTTTTTGAGAAGGAAAATAAATGGCTTGGAAGTGCCTGTGGCTGTAACATTGTGCACTACACGTAGACGACAACTAGGTGGAGCCTGGCAATTCTAGAGGACGCTTGTGGGGAAACTGCGGAGCGAAGGCAGATGACAAGGAGCTGGGCGTTGGAAGAGAAGCACTAGTCACCGCTGTGTGCTAAGAGCAAGTAAACCATGTATTTCTCATTGCGCGGGCTCTGTGATTGTAATAATAATTTCAACAGTAGCATAGACACCATTTCCTGTGGCAGAAAAGTCATTAGTGCCAGAATAGGAAGACAGAGGATTAGTTTCTTAGCTCTGCTATTGATGAGAGGTAGACAAGTTACTGAACTCTTGGGTCCTCTATTTCCTCACCAGTAAAATGGAGTGCAGTTGTGAGGATTAGTTAAGTAAGGGAAATTTCTTGGAAATATCAAAGGCTTCTCTAAGAGAATGTGCCATGTCACCAGAGAGGAAAGAGACTGGTGTGCAGAATAATGGTGAGGAGCTAAATTACACAATACCAATGTAAGCAGAGAAAATTGCGTAAGAAAATAACCACCAGCCAACGGCATTCCACCCCACTGTTCTTTCCTGGAATTCCACCAAGATAGATGTCACAGCATGCTCTCAGAGGAGAATTCACAGGCAGAAGCTTATGAAAGCCCATCTGCGTTGTGGCGAAGAAGTCTCTTGGAAATGTTTAATTCTCTCAGACAGCTGAAAGATTGATTTAATTAACTGGCCAGCCAAGGCTTCTCTGAGTTTTCTGGGCCTCACCCTGTGAAGTGGACTCACTGACCTCTGATCGATGGGGGTAGAAGGGAATAGAAATCATTTGAAAAACAGAACGGAGGTGCTATCATGTTTCCTAATTTTTTCTCTTCCTTGATTTTCAAATACTCTATAGGCACAGTTTGTTTTTCTCATTTAAAGTTTTGCTTGAGGGGCTGGGAGTACAGCTTGGGGATAGAGTGTTTGCCTAGCATCTGCAAAGCTTGGGGTTCCATCCCCTACACTGCAAAAAAACAAAATAAAATAAATAAACTTTTGCTTGAACCAAACTGATAATATCCTCCCAGATCAAAATGCTCTCACCTTCATCTCAAGGCAATTCAGAGGCTGGGGAAGGGGAAGAAAGTTTGGGGGAATGTGTTCTTGGCACTGAAGAAAGGCATGGAGGGTGGGGGAAGGGGGGAGAAATGACCCAAACATTGTATGCTCATATGAATAAATAAAAAAAAAAAAAGAAAGAAAGGCGTGGAATTCAGGTGCCCAGAATGATTGGGGGACACATTAAGTGACATCCTCGGGCCATGTCTAATACAGGCACATGAGATGTCAAAAGCAGGGGAAAGGAACTTGAGGAAACTAGAGGAGATGAGACTGCAAAAAGACTGAAAGTAGTGTGGCATGGTGGTGCAGACCTGTAATCCCAGCACTTTGGAGGCTAAGGTAGGAGGATTGTGAATTTAAGCCCTGTCTGGACTATAGCCATGCTAGGCTCCATGGTGAGCACAAAAATAACAATTTACTTTTTTATTGGAGAGCCTCAAAAAATAACAATTGGGCTGGTGGCAAGCTCAGGCAGCAAAACACTTGCCTAGTGAGATTAAGGCCCTGAGTTCAAACCCCGGTAATGTCAATGAAAAGAAAAAAGGCCCCAACCTCAAAGGCTTTAGTAGGTAGCTCCAAAGGCATTCACAGTTTAGCTTTAACTTCACTTCCTACCTTGTTTCGAAGGTGGCCGAAGTCCAGTGAAAAGGAGGTGGCACTGTCCCGCCGCTTCACTACATAGCACAGGTACGTCTCGTGGCGACCCTTAGCCCAGCGGACATTTTTGAAGTGGTAAAGAAACTTCTTCTGCTTCAACAAAAGGCTGTGGGTGAGAAGAGGGAGAAGAAATTAAAAACAAAACCAAAAAAACCTCCTAAGTCATTTGAGCTCACAAGGCAGTTTCTGTCTGCACTGTCTTCTAGATGTTGATGACAAGACTACGCACTTGTTCTTCAGCCTCCTGGTTATGTTCTCAGGTTTCCCTCAGTCTCTGCCGAAGTCTCCAACATGCACCTCAAAACTCCACATGGTCAAGCAGTATCCTTTTTTTTTTTAAATTTTTATTGTTTTATTATTCATATGTGCATACAAGGCTTGGGTCATTTCTCCCCCCTGCCCCCACCCCCTCCCTCTCCCCCCACCCCCTCGACACCCGGCAGAAACTATTTTGCCCTTATCTCTAATTTTGTTGAAGAGAGAGTATAAGCAATAATAGGAAGGAACAAGGGTTTTTGCTGGTTGAGATAAGGACAGCTATACAGGGAGTTGACTCACGTTAATTTCCTGTGTGTGTGTGTTACCTTCTAGGTTAATTCTTCTTAATCTAACCTTTTCTCTAGTTCCTGGTCTCCTTCTTCTATTGGCCTCAGTTGCTTTTAAAGTATCTGCTTTAGTTTCTCATCAAGCAGTATCCTTAACTCCGACCTGAGTGCTTCCCCCTGACTTCACCACTCAGGTGAGCAGGCGAGGAGCCTGCAGTCCCCCTTGACTCTGTCTTCTCAGTCCTCATAATTAAGCATGTACATTTATTGATTCTGTTGGGGCTCAGGAAAAGACACCCCGATGTATGGTGTTTGGTGTGCTGAGAAAATTGGATTACAGATTGAAAGGCTTGTGGCACAGTCTCAGAGGCCAACTCTCTTTGGTGTTAAGTCATTGAAACTAGAATTCTTCTCCCCCAAAGCAAGCCATAAAACCTAGAAAGGTCACTCTCCTTTCGTTCTCTCTGTCTCCCTCTCCTGCTCTCTTTTTGGTGGTTCTGGGGTTTGAACTTAGGGCCTTGTACTTGCTAGGCAGATGCTCTACTACTTGACCTGCTCTGCCAGCCCTTATTTGTGTTGGGTATTTTTGAGATAGGGTCTCCAGAACTATTTGCCTGGGCTGTCCTTGAACCCTGATCTCTGCCTTCCAAGTGGCTAGGATTACAGATATGAGCCACTGGCACCTGGCTCCCTTCTTTCTCGAAGACCCTCATTCCACAAAGGGTGTGTGGCACACACTGGCCTTGCTGGGTTTCCTCCCTTGCTCCATCACCACCAGGCCATAGCTTTTGTTTAATCACATTCTTCTTGAACCAAGCATAAAATAAGATAGTTCTTCCTGGGTCTTTGGGTCTTCATTTCTGAAGTCAAGTGAAACTTTGATTAAATCAATTGTGATTTTTTTTTCCCCCTGTGCTGGGGATTGGATCTTGGGCTTCATGCACAAGTGCTCTACTACTGAGGTACATACCCAGACCTATTCTGCTTTTCTTTTGCTCACTTGTCTCTGTTGTAGGAGTGTCAGCCATGAAATTCATGAGTGTGAAGGAAGGTATCACACTTTTCCACATATTGACTGAACCCTGGTTTTTCTTGACTTTGTACCTGCTCTGTTTCTTCTGCTCTCTGCTTCAGTCTAAGCCCGGTCTTCTTTCATCTTATCTGTGGTGCTGGCTTCTTAAACAGTCTTTGCCTCTGATGGTGCCAAAATATCATTCTCCACTCTGCCACCAGAGTCCTCTCACAAAATCCCAAGTGTACTGTGTTGCTGTCATGCAGCACTCCCTTGTGATTCTCTCCTGCCCACAGAATACACTCCAGCCTATTTTATGTGGTGTTTAGTCCTATGTGCACTTCTGCCCTGCTTCCTAGTACTACTCCCCTTCATTTTCCCACTGTTTTTTGGTTTTTGGTTTTTTTTTTCTGGTGGTGTTGGGGCTTGAACTCAGGGCCTACACCTTGAGCCACTCCACCAGCCCTTTTTCTGTGATGGATTTTTTTTGAGATAAGGTCTTATGAACTATTTGCCCAGGTTGGCTTCGAACTGTGATCCTCCTGATCTCTACCACCTGAGTAGCTAGGATTACAGGCGTGAGCCACCGGCACCTAGCTGTCCCCGATACATGTGGTCCTCCCCATGCAACAGCTCCTATGCCACAGGACTCTGGTGTAGCTAGCTCCTGGCCCTCATCTGTCTTCTCTCTGCTCTTCCTTTCTAGAGCTTTCTGTGTACTTTCCTGGAGCTGAATGCTTTCCTACCTTTCCACCCTGGGCAAAATCTGCAGGTTCTTCAAAGTCTAACCACGATTTCAACTCTTCTAGTAAGATCTTGCTTACCACCACCCTAAATATTCTGGGCAAAAATCTAACAGTATCACAAAAACCCATCTCTCATTTCTCCATGACATCCCAGTTTATTGCTCACTGACATTTCAGCCTCTCCAGTTAGACTTTCTGTATTTTGAAGTAGAGGTATCACGTTTTTGTGAAAGCCAGGCTGGCTTCAAACTCTCCGTCCTCTTGCCTTAGCCTCCTCAGTGCTGGGACTGCAGGTGTACACCATGATACTAGTTCTCTCTATTTTTAGAATGATTAAGAGCAATATTTGGTTATTGTAAATTTTGAATACTGCATAAAAATGTGAAAAATTAATTAAAAATATTAAATAATTTCAAAATTTAGAATATCAGACCTGGTGTCTAATGATGACTGATGAATTATTTCTGGATTTTTTTTTTTTTTTTTGTGGTACTGGGGTTTGAACTCATGGCCTTGCACTTGCTAGGCAAGAGCTCTATCACTGGGTCACACCCCCAGTCCCCTTTTGATGTTTCTAAAGCTGGGGTACCGTCTTAGCATTTTGCTATGTTGTTCACACACAGGGGCTGATGACACTCCTCTTTATTTTCTAATTCCTAGCACAATGTCGTGCGTGTCATACACGCTAAACTGAATTGAACTTGTGGAAATGCTGTCTGGTAACTCAAGCTTCTCCAGGAAATTAAGAGCTCTGGTTAAAGTCATGAACCTGGTAACACAAGTTGCATGGTGTGGTTGATGTTCGCACAAGAGTGGCTCTCTAGTTCTGTCCCTGGTCTTTTCCAGAAATACACCATTATCCAAATTGTGGAGACAGTGCTGCCCCCTAAGAGTCTGAGGGCAGAAATGCAGAGAACTGTTAAGCAAAGAGCAAGTCAGGAATTTGAATACAGTTTTGCTGGCAAGAGAATTGAAACTTTTTTCACTTTTTTTTTTTAAACATTGAGGTATAATTTACATATAGTAAACTTCACCCACTTAAAGTATATAATTCTGTTAATTTTGGCAGATGCAAACACCCCAAACTGTTTCCACAATCAGGCTACAAAGCATTTCCAGGGTACCCCTCCCTCCACCAAGGACCCCCCTTTGCTGTCAGTTATCCTCTGTTCCAGGCAATCACTGACTCGCTTTCTGTAACTGTAATTTACTTTTCATTTTCTGGACTTCTTCATGTTTGACTTATTCTGCTTTAGCCCAATGACTTTGACATTCACCCATGTTTCAGTAGTTCCTTTTTGCTGCTGAGTGATACCCTACTGTGTGGATATAGCGTGTTTTGTTTATTCGTTCACCCGTTGATTGACATTGAGTAGTTTCTATTTTAGGGCTACTGTGAGTAAAAGTACTACGATTATTCATATACCAGTCTTTATATGGACATAAGCTGAGAACTGAAATTTCACTAATGTAATACAATAATACAAGCGGCAGACTTTAAAAGTTAATGGCTCATTGAGGGGATGGCTCAGCAGTAGATCAATGGCAGAGCACTTGCCTGGCATGCATAGGCCCTGGGTTCAGTTCCCAGCACCACAAAAAAACCCAAAAATAAATAAAAAGTTATACTGGAAAGTCTGTTTTTTTTTTTTTTTCCTTTGTGGTGCTGGGGAAGGAACTCAGGCCTCACACATGCTGGGCAAGTAATCTACCACTGAACCACACCCCAAGCCCTGGAAAGCATGTTAAATCTTTTTTTTTTTCCAGTACTGAGGATAGAACCAAGGGCCTCATATATGCTGGGCAATGACTCAACCACTGGGTTACATCACCGGCCTGAAGGCATTTTAAATGTTGAGGTAAAGAACTGGACTTATCATCAATATATACATTTTATCAAAGAATATAAAGTTAGTCAACTGTATTATTTTAAAATTTAAATGCATAATTGTTAGGGATCTAGAATGGATGCTAGCAATGTTCTAAGAATAATTGGCTTTATTATAAAATGATAATAATTTGCTATGGTAATCATCACAGCACTAGCACAATTATTATTATATCATTAGCATATAACAACCGTTTGCATAGCTAAGCTTAACACATACTAGGTACTTAATAAATACCAAAGATAAAGAAAAAAAATCTCTTTTGGAACACAGTCAGTTTTAAACAGATTGGGCAGTAGCTCTTACCAGTAAATCCTTTTATCATTTAATAATTTGTTTGATTTTCTAGAAGTACTGGAGAGTTTGAACTCACAGTCTCATGCTTGCTAGGCAGGCACTCTACCACTGAACCTTTCTGCCAACCCCCTAATCTCTTTTATATTTAACCTACCCTTCTGTGCTATGGCAGTGCAAGGCACCAAACCTGGGGGGGCGGTGTGTGTTGAAGTGGTGCGCATTGGCTGCAGTTATCAGGAGGAAGAAGTGTCTTGGGACACTTCAAATGGATCTCTGTGTCCAAACCCTGTGAAAATACAGTAGACCTTACAGCTTCTGTGACAAGGCACCTGTTAGGTGAACTGAACTACCTGATCCTGGCCTGTGACTTCACTTTCTTGACCCATCATTTGCCTTCCTCTTTAGTTAGCAGCTGGTTTCCAATATCCCGTACACAAAGTTCCTCTCCGGGAGGCAGTTTGTCAGGCCTGCAGGGTGACAGCTGCTCGGACAGCTGTGCTCCCTGAAGCAGAACTCGAGCTGCTGTCCCGCAATGCAAACCAGAGACAAATGGGTTAAAAATAATCCTGACGAAGCTATCCTGTGCCATCTCTAATGAGCGCTTAATGACATTTCTG